GATAAGGATTGTGACATTAATTTGCTTTAAAATTAAACTTTTATCTTATATTTTATGGCGCACTTGTGGTTGAACATTATTATATTAAATAAGTAATTTGCAGTGAAATTTATATTATGTATATTTATTATTATTTGAAAGTTTCACTTCTACCGCGTGTGAACTGCACAAATGTTTTTTTTTAATATAGAATAAGGGTGACAACGAGCACACAGTCCACCTGATGATAAGTGGTTGCCGTGGCCCATAAACATCTACATCTATTCTTGATATAAATCAATATGCAGATGCATAAGTCACCCCTGAGGACTAACTAAGATGGAATGCCGCGTTTTCTGTAAAATAGTTCTCCGGTTCTCTACACTCACCACACGAAGTACAGCAGAATTAAGTTGCTATGTCACGCTGGTAGTAATTTTAAAAACAAATAATTGTGTAATTAAGTTGAACTGTCGTGTTATTATGAAAGCGGTATAGATCACTACTATCATAGTCTCTGGTTTCTGTTGGTGTGCATAATGCACGAGGTTTCTTTTTAGATTATTTAATATTCGGGCCGTACCGTATCTCCTTGTTTAAATTATAAACAAATTTGTCAACAAAATTCTTAATATCTATAGAGTATAATAAATAGTTAAATACCCGAGGCGAGAGAGCAGTTAGATGCTTATGTTATGTATAAAATGTAATTGTAAAATATTTTTTAGTTTCGTATCATGTGAATTTTTTCGGTTGGACTTGTTACACTGTGCGTTGAATGTTGCATTTTTTTAATGCAAGTTGTTCAGAATACAAATTACTAATTGCCTGTGAGACTGCTTTTTCGGTTCGATATAGTTTATGTATAAACATAGTGTAAAGAATTGTAAATATAAAATTTCTTTATTAATAAATATATCTGTGTCTACTGAATCTATTTTGTTGTTTCATTTTAAAATTGGTGCATTGTAGCGAAAGAACACCACACTACCCGCGCCTAATTTCTTATCATTCGTTATCCTTTTCTATACATTCATATCAACTTGTACCACATCCGCATCCGCAAAGGCTTCGCATATTATGGATGCCAAAGCAAATATCCGCAACATCACTGCTTCAAAAACGGAAATAATTTCTTGATAATAACTTCGCAAGTCAGGGTTGCACCGAAATTTACCTACTAAGATTTGTTTGCCTGCGACATAAGAATTAGAGGGGGCAACCACTAATAAAACTTGAAAATAATTTTTATTTTGACGTACCTCTTTTTACTAGGCAAGCATAAACTTGCTTGATCCCCATTGGGGATCCACACCAGGGATCTCCGCTAGGAGTAAAGTATTCTGTGATCCACACGCAAAGCTAATCGTAGAGGGCACCAGCGGCGCCATGGCTGCTGTCAAATTGTTGTAGATTAGTTTACATGAAGAGATTTTGCTTTTCTTTGTATTGAAACTGGTTGACCATCGATCATTTTAAGATGTATTGTACCTGGAAGCTTAAAGAATTGAAAGACGAACTAAAAAAACGAGGAGCGAAGATAACTGGAAAGAAATCAGATCTTGTTGAGAGGTAGGCTTGTATCTACTAAAATATTATACACCTGCAGACATATATATACAAGTTAAGGATTTGGAGCTAGTTTTGTTTGGAACGTGTTAATTATTTTTTGATCAATGTTAGGAAAATTTAGAGAACATTACTCAAATCATAAATGGTATTTTTTGCTTTTAGGTTAGAATCATATGACCGAAATTTTAATTTCGGCAATCAAAGCCCTCTAGCTTCTCAAAGTCAAGCAATTGATGTTCCTGCTGTGGAACTTTACCAGGACGTTAATAGCTGCACGATATTGCCAAAGATTACCAAAAAACATATTCAAAGTTATTTTGATAGGTAGGTAATAATTGTTTCTAACGTTTTTGTAAATATTAAAGATTATTTGTCCACTAAGTTTATTAAATAGTGGTTATATCCTTTCTCTTGATATTTAACATAATACTTTTTATTTCAGATTCAATAAAAATATCAGTGATGCTGTAAAATTGTATGAATCAAGATACCTTCTTATTTTACGATCAACAACATTTGCCCTAGATACATACTTAAAAGGTAGGTTCACCAGAAAATGAAGGTTGATGTCTCAAAAATAAATAGATGGTTAGGTGATTAAAGTTGATGTGTAATATATTTGTCTTTCTTTTAAATATGAACATATAAATACTTCTTCCAGGTTTTTGCAAGGCATCTATGAAACAACTACAATATGAGGTAAACATCAAATTAAATAATGATGGAATGCCTGAAGAAGCAACATGTGAATGTGCAGCAGGAGAAGGCAAAGAAGCCCATTGTAAACATGTAGCTGTGGTACTTCTTGCTGCTGAAAATATTGTTAAGGAAAAAATAATACTGCTACATGAAGTTACGACATCACAACTTCAAACGTTTCATAAGCCTACAAAAAAATATTATGCCACACCATTGCGAGCCTCCAGATTGCCATCCAAAAGGGATTTACATAACATTGTTTACTCTCCATATTTAAAACAAAACCCTTATTTTGATAAAAAGGCATTCCAATGCAGGTTTCAGTCCCTGATTTTAAATTATCCACTCTCATCGATGCCCCTTAAACAATTATTTCCAGCAGCTAACCAACGAGCAATATGTTTAGATCATAAATATATGGAAAAAAGTGCACAGGATGTTTTTTTAGAATCCATTAATTTACAAAATTTAACTGAAGAAAGATTAGTGGAAATCGAACTGGAGACTAGAGGACAAAGTTTCAATCCAAAGTGGCATGAGTATCGACAAACGCACATCACATCAAGTATATTTCACACTGTGTGCCATTTGAAAAGTGAAACTTTAGTAAAATATTGTAACCAAATATTAAATAAAAATCTAGTCCAAACAAGAGCGATGGCACATGGGATGATTAATGAAAAAGTAGCCATTAAAAAATATATGGAGATTTATGGGGTGGTTGTTGAAGAGTGTGGATTATTTTTGTCTCAGGAACGACCTTATCTAGGAGCATCTCCAGATGGCTTACTAGGATCGGAAACAATAATTGAAGTAAAATGCCCTTATGCTTCCAGAAACCAAGAAATCGGTCCTCTTACAGTACCTTACCTACAATTTGATTACAATGGACAACTTACTTTAAAAAAAACTAATATTTATTACTATCAAATTCAAGGGCAATTATATGTAACAAAAAGAAAATTTTGTAATTTATTAGTTTTTACCTATAAAAGTTTAAAAGTAATATTTATTGAACGTGATGAACAGTTCATTACGGATATGTTGAGAAAACTTGATTATTTTTATTACAACTTATTTAAAAATGCTGTAACCAACAAATATTTTTTTAAGGATTAAGATTTTTATAATATGCTAGGGCTGAATCTGAATGAGAGGGTGAGAAATTGTGTGATAAGAGAAAAGTGTGTTTTAAAATCTGATGTTGTGAACAGGATTAAGAAAGAAATTCTTTGGTGGTTTGGTCGTGTGGAAAGAATGAACGAGGAAAGAGTGACAAAGCAAATTACAGATTACAGATGTGAACAGCAGAGTCGGGAAGGGATGCCCTAGACTAAGGTTTATCGACCAAATTGGAAATAAATTGAAAATGGGCCAGATTAACAGAACCCTTAACCAACGAGCATGTATGACTGTATGTATATGGATGTAAAGGAGGTGAGAGAGAGGTGTGTCAGGATTGTGTTAAATGGAAGTCCGTAGTCTCTGTTTACCCCTCTGGATAACAGGCGTGTTTATATTGTTTTTTAAGATTTTATAATAAACTATATGAACAGTTATAAAAAAGCTTTTTATTTCATGATACTTTCTCTAAAATTACAAGCCATAGCACAAACAAATAAAATTCTAGATGCTAGTGGTACATGATAAGGGCTCAATTCACTTTTTAAAATCTTATATGATTTAGCTAGACCTATAATACGTTCTATATCGGCGTCCCCGACGAACAAAATCGTAATAGAAAAATGTCAATTTTACAGGAGCAAATAAAAACTGAATATCATAAGAACTATCAAACCTAGAAAGAACTTTCTTTTACCAAAAATAGGAAATAAAATTTTAGCACTACAATTATACTAAATTTTTCTAAAAAGTTTTCTTTATAAATAAGAAAATCATGAAAATGTCCATTACTGACATAAATTATGGAGGATGTTACCGCTAACTAACTTTACGATAGTGTTCGACGGAAATCACAAAATGATGTGGCTATAGCAATCGTGCATTACGATATTGTTCCATGGTAAATATGCATATACTTTCTGTTCGTATAATGTCATTGCAATTGTATTCGATGATGTAACTGACCTCAATATTACGGTAAACATACATTACATGTTTTTTTGATTATCGTTTTCAGGAGTTAAGATTTAATTTAATACCGTCATAATCTTTTATCTATTACTATAATAAATTAGTGGAACCAGGTTTGTCTGTACACTAAGGATAATGGACTAAAATGACAGGGAACAACAAAATAAAGGTAATATAAGAGAAAAATGCGCTTTTTGTTTAGTGTCTGTCTGTTTGTTCCAGCACATCTCTGAAACTACTGAACGGATTTTAATGCGGTTTTCACAGCTGATAGATAGATGTTAGTTAAACTAAAAACATAGGCTACTTTTTATCCGCCCACACGAACGCAGTCGCGGGCGGCCGCTAGTTTTAGAATAAAATATTGTGTAAATATGTATAAAGAAAGGTTTTTATTACTACCATAATAATTGTCATTACTTATTTTGGATTTTTTTGGATGTACCTATTAATTTTATACGGTTATAGTTTGGAACACTGTAACTTGTACCTACCTTGGTAGGTACAAGTTAACAGTGCTACAAATTATAATCTTTTAAATTTGAATTGAATTTATTTTGTTTTATTAAAACAGTAAATAGGTAACAGTTTTAGTTATTAATACCTCCAACAAAAACCAAAATAAGTTATCGATGGGAAATAAAATGCAATAAAATATCCAGTAAGTATTTATTATTATAGTTTCAAACGAAAATTATTACATATTTAAAAACAAATTTTAAAAATGTTACAAGTAGGTAACCCAATTTTAATTTAAATCTTACTCTTGTTCCTCAGGTATGATGTCGGCATAATTTAAATTATTATAAGAACTGTGATAATATTTTGGGATGGCCTCACTATCACACAGAGACTTCAGGTCATTAAGCAGGGCCTTGGTGACGGGTGACGGATGGCTGTAAATATTTTTAAGGGTTTGTACCTCGTCGGCGATGGATTTTCGCCCTCTTTTCGGTTTGGTCCATTTTGTATTCAACTCAAAGGGCTCATTTTCGAGTTCCAACTTATACTGTAAAATTGTTGGTTTCAAATGAGAAACTCTCACCTCCATCAATTCCGACCACTTAATTTTTCGTCCTTCGGTGTATTTCAACCAATTATTTCCATTAATAAGATCTTTTATATCGTAGAAATCCACCTGCTCCATTTCATTGATCTTATATTTTGGATGCGAGATTTTCGCGTTTGAAATTACACCATAAACTTGCTCTGGAGTATACAGTATTTTATTTTTCATAGCCCTCTCTATGCATGAATGCATATTATCACCTTCATTTTGACTATGCCTTGTCTCAAAAAATCGGTGCGTTATAGTTTTCACTCCATAAACTTGTACGATATACAGGTATAGGGCGAATATAAAGCGATTTTTATTTCGGCCGGCGCAACCATCAGAATAAAATGAAAAATTTTCGATTCCTCTTAGTTGTTCTTCCTGGATGAATTTTAATAAACAACTACCAATTTCGGTAAAAGAGAGGTTCTCTTTCCAATAGACATATGCCACACAAAACAATGTCTGGCTTTGCGCATTAAATCAAACAGTAAAGTTATAAACTGCATATTTTTCTTTATAATAAAAAGTGCCCACTTCGGACTATGGCACACTCAAAACTTTTTCCAGATCAAACGCCGCAATAGTAGTGTTTTTTCATCTGTGCTCAATTTTTCTTCGTTTTTTATGTTACGAACAGTCTCCTTTTTGTTTATATGCTTTCTGTATGCGTCCTCTAGTGATAGTTTTTTTCTTCGTCTGCTAGGTCATAAAGGGTACATGTTGGGCACTTATCCTTTTTTGGCCGAAAGAAAGAGTAATTGAATTCTGTATTGAACACAGACCCATACCGTTGCATTGTAGCTTTCCAATCTTCTGGCAAATTTTGGTTTGGAAACCACAGTTCATATAATCGGTACATTTTTGAAATTTTAAGTTGCTCTGACAAATATTGCCGTTTTGAGCATTTTCTGACGTAGTGAGACTATACTGCTGGAAAGAAACTAACGGGGTCAATTATGCTTTGTTTCGTCAAGTTAATCATCTTTTGAGGCCTGTTTGCGTGACTCCGTCTCTGATCAATCATACCTTCATTATTTTTTGTTTTTTCCAATGCTGTATAAACAAACTGTTCTGATATTTTTAAAGTATTTAATAAATAAACCTTGTAAACAGTAATTTCTGACTCGTCTAATGGAAAGCTATAATTGATAGTTTGGGTCCTGTTTTGTTTTCTGTATATAGTCATTTTCTTTATTGGTTTTGCTATTGTGTATCTATTAATAAATTGCCATTGTAGTTCGTGATCACCCATTTTATAAAAAAATTAAAATATAGTTTTCCTCTGCTGTTCAGAGAACTTTTCTTGCATTTTTTTACAAGAACATACAGGTCCCATGGTTTTTGCTGGATATACTTTTTTGTACGTTTGTTGGTGTAGCTTTTTCTTACCACCCACTCTCGTTTCTACGGCGTTTTCTACTGAGTTTCTTTTCTTCTGACTGATCATCTCTATTAGTCACACATATTTATTAGTTTGGATCTTTCTATAATCTGTCTATCACTGACTGAACCTCCATAACATTCAGAGACATATGATATAAGACCTCCAGGTGTTGCTCCAATCATAGCCTTCACAGTGTTTTTATGTTTGTAACTGCTGAAGGTCACCTGCTGTGCTACTGGATTCCCAGGCCGTGTGATGGGTATTTCAGTTGTGTCCACAATAATCCTAATATTTGGAAAACCCCTTTTAAACGACTCTGGCATATAATATTGAACCAATCCTTTACTTGGCCAAATATTAATTAAAGACCATATTTCATACATAAAATTAATCCATGTTACAAAAATGTTAGCAACAGTAGTTTGGGAAATACCAAATAAAAATGCCAACTCAAAATCTGGCATGTACCTTCTAAGCTTAATTAGTGTTATCAACAGTTGGTCACCGATACAAACATTGATAACTTTACTTCCCCTGTAATTTAAATTATTACACATGGGACTTAATGTGTCTAACACCAACATAAATTTTTCATATTTTTCTAGCCCAGTATAAAAATGAATAGCCTGTGGATTGCCTCTCATGGCCTCTAGTGATAAGATTCCAAAAGAACTACCACATTGAGTGCTAACAGACACTGTTTTTGGTGTAAAATCTTCTAAGGAGCCCTCTATAGTAGATATTTCAATTTCAGCGCTAGAAGACGGTTCTGGAACACTTTCTTCTACAGATGGTTGTATAAAATCAAGTATGCGTCTGCTTCTTTTCATATAACGACTGGTTCTTGATGTAGGTGTTGTTGACACCTGGGTGGACCAAGGGAATATACTTGGTACAGTTCCCTTTTTCAGAAACTTGCATATTTGAGGATGTCCTGTAAACAACAAAAATTGAGAAAAATAGTACAGATTACCTTAAATTATTCAAATAACTTTACTGTACATGAGTAAAATAGATTTTATGAATTTAACACCATAATCCGATGTATGGAGGCATATATTACATACATTATTTATTTTATTGGTTCATTATTGGTTTATTTACTTCCTAGCCTTTACCCGGGATTTCGTTCACAAAAACTTAAACAAAAAACTACTTAAGTATCTACCTATATAAGTGGGCTTTGGGCAAGTGGTTCAACTTTCGAAAAACCACTAGTAGAATCTATAATTAATAATAATGAATGAAATAACACACCTGTGTAGGCTGATTCTCCTACATAATCAGATTCTTGGAAATGATTCCGACATAACCTGCTATGCTGTGTCGCTACAAAATTTTTGCGTCTTATAGCCTTTTCCCACTTTTTTTTTAATGTTGGATCTTTGGGAAATAAATGTACACCGGGGTTAGCGCATCCTGGTACAACACAAAGAGGCATATTTCGAGAAAACTAAAATTAACAATATGGTAGGTTATGAAACGTACGGATCTGACAGTTCTCAATGGCCATGTCGATGATACGCCATCCATACAACTTTATAATTTGTGACGCCATCTGGCGTGAGAAATCGGCAGTGAACATTGCCATAGGCAGTACGATAGTTCTAGATTGTATTTTGTACATAATGGCTCCAGTACACGTTGGCCGAGCGCGCTCGCCGAGTGCACTCGGCCAACGTGTACTGGGCCGTTTTGTATATATTTGGCGTTTGCGGCCAACGCTCGCCGACGAGCCGTATAGTGTCGGTTTTCCGTGCACAAATCAAAGGAATTTGGCGCATGCCGCAAGCAGTGTTCACACGTTGGCCGAGTGTTCAGTTCATAGTAACGCGTCGGAGTAAACTGTAGTGTCGGCTTGATAAAATTGTTTCAACATGACGACATGGACTAATGAGGAAATATTTATTTATTTAACAGTTTATGTACACACATAATTCGATAGGAAAATGGTAAAAACATAATTATGTACAAAGGCACTGCCTATTCCATGATGAAATTTCTTCCAGCAGGCATATTGAAGGATAGTTGAAGGAAATAGAGGTAGTCAAAGTGTGCACTTACATAAATATACATATACAATACAAATATATACATATACATACACACACACACACACATATATATACGCATGTATATATATAAATAAATATCATATATTATGAAAAAATATATAATTCAATATAATATATTTTTAATGTTACTTATATGCATACCAACACATTACGATTTAATAATTATGGAGTAAATATTGATTCATTGTTCATTGATTGATCCTCACAATGAATCAGTTATATGGAACCCCAAACATGAGCAACATAAAAATAAAACCAGAGGAACTTGCCTAACTGCATTAAAGAATACATGTTTAGTTGCGATTTCAGAGTACCTACCTAATGATAAATATTATTATAAATAATTATCTCTGCGTTTATGTTGTTCAGGGATAATGTAGCTTAGGGGCTTCTTTTGGGCTATCTTTTATTTTGAAAAAACCGCCAGCGAAGCGGGCACGAGTAGCTAGTAAATCCTATAAAGGTTTCTTTTTTCCTTTTGAGGTCGGAACCCAAAAAGGACACACTGGGATTATTGTTATATGTGTAGTTTTTTTTCTTGTTCACTCTGAGAAGAGTGAAGCGCTGTATAAGTATATGACAGCGGCCGCGATTGCTCTAACGTCCATCATCATCTAGCTACCAACGCAGAATGAAACACGCCAACGTGTGAACGGCACCACGAAAATCTGCCGAGCGCGCTCGCCAAGCGCACTCGGCCAACGTGTACTGGAGCCATTACACACTTCTATTGATTTCTGTACGCGATATGTGACATTAGCTATAAGGCTTTCAGCCAAGAAGCTCTGTACGCCTGATACTTGTGACCACAAACTATATAGAAACACTACGCGTTTGTGACACAGAGTAAAGAAGTTGTGAGACAGGTTAGACATTCTTCTTATTAGACTTTATTGAATCTATGACCCATATATATATATATATATATATATATATATATATATATACTATTTTCAGCCTTCTGATCCCACTTCTGATGTTACAAATAGAAACACGAATTGACTTTATTTAAAATATTTTAATGGCCTTTGGCCTAACAAATATTAACTAACTTTAAAGCTTAAAACAAGGTTCAAAATAATGACGCTAGTATTCGAGCAAAGCTTCCGCACTCCGTGATGACCGTCGGCAAAAAGGGGCGAGTGACGCCAGCCGCCCTCCTATATAGCCCGGCGCGGCGTCGTCAGACCTTCTCTTCTAACACGGCCTCTCCTGACGGGGCAGCGTGCTCGAAGCCCTCAGCAGGAACTCGTGGATGGCTCAGCAACACTCACCGCGTCCCGCGGTTGTTCGACGTCACCATCGTCGATCTCTGAGAAGATACACACAATCTAAGAGACACTTATTTATATCGCGTATTAACAGTTGATCAAAATTCATATGTTCATAAAAGCGTCAGATTATGTACCCAATTAGCCAAACAAGTCAGTCAGTCAAAACAGTCAACATGAACAGTTATCAACGCCACACAAAAGCGTTTCAAGTCACATAGGTTTTACACAGGTCTCTTCCCACGCAACCGAATACCCCGCACATACTCGCGTGTGCAAACAGGATTTACATCAGTCTCTAGCAGGTCACCCCAGATACCTAATAATGGCTGGATTTACACAGGTCTGTTGTCGGCTGCGCCACCGACTCACCCCAGAAACCACCAGTGTCAGGGTCAACCCAATACCATGCGCACAGGATTTATACGGGTCTCTTCCACTGAACACAACACGTAACGTAGTCAAAATCAATAAACACGGGCTTGTTTGGTACATAATCTAGCTCAAGAATAGGGAAAGATTATCTTCTCGATTGTCACAGCACCAACACACGACCAAGCGCATTCGCCGCGACACCTCTGAAGGAACTCGCGCGATCGCGGTACGTGTAATCAGATTTGCGATTTCTGCAGAAGTCCCGTATGAGAGCTATAAACAATGCATACATCGTTTGAGTCATTATAAAATAAGCTAACGAATTACATACGAATCAGGACAGCTCCCTTCGTAACACATTATCAATTCTATTTTGAAATTGATGTAATCGAGCTCCTCCTACTTCAATACACATAAGTCGTTACAATCATAAAAGCAAACCTTTATTCGACAAATATTTTACTTTACCCACTTAAAACATATTTAACATAAATCCATAAAAATAACATAGCTCTTGACACATTTTTTTTTTCACCCCACAAGCTCTACGATAACATGCCTCACTTAAATGACCCGATAAGGTAAGTTTTGGGTGAGTTTAAGTCGAGAGTCGAGAATACTGCAAATTAAGTGGTTTATGTAATAATTTATGTCCCGTTTGGGTTCACATTCTTATCACAAACATAGTTTTAACTTTTGGATAAGAAATATAGCAAAAAATATAGAAATACGTGGGAACTGATCGAGCTCCACGAGGCACTTGACATAATATGCGCCTTTGTTTACTCCAATATTCCAGAGGCCTGTTGACAGATGAGGGGTTATTAGGTATGTAAAATAACAAAGCAAATATAACAGCAATCGTACTACTAGTACCTTCAAAAAATGCAGCACATGTTTCGGGTGTCCATTCACCCTTCCATAACACCATGTATGCTGCAGCTGCCTGACTAGTCTTTCCGTAAGCGCCGGCTAACAAATGTATCTTCGGAAGTATCCTGCGAGGCCAAGAAATTGGCGAACCTGTTTGATATTACTCGGTCGTGGTGATTTAACTAACGCATCAATTTTATAATTGCTCGGTCTAACCTGACCATCTCTTATAATCCTACCCAAGTATTCTATTTCGTTAGTAACAAAAGTACATTTCTTTACATTAATTGAAAAACCTGTTTCAGTTAGCGTTTTCATAACCGAATCTAATAAAACGAGGTGTTCGTCAATCCCGACCGTCATTATTAATACGTCATCTATGTAGACCATGACTTTTCCGGCATCGATAAAAGATTTAAGCGTTTTAGAGATAGTCTTCTGATAAAATATAGGCGCGTTCGCCAAACCGTAGGGTACCTTGCAATATTCATACTGCGCCTCTGGTGTAACGAATGCGGTCTTATGAATCGACTCTTCTGCAACTCTAAGTTGATGGAAACCGGAAACCATATCCAGAGAGCTAAACCAGCGACCATTGCCTAGCCTGTCTATATAGTCGTTGATCAAGGGGAGAGGATATCTAGTTTTAACGGTTATTCGATTCAATGCACGATAGTCAACGACCATTCTATCAGAACCATCCTTCTTTTTTACGAGCAAGATCGGACTAGCGTATTCTGAATCGGACTCGCGAATAATTCCTTTATCGAGCAGATCCTTCACTATAGTGCGTACTTTTAATTTTTCGCCATGCGATAATTTGTAGGGTCTATAGTACACGGGCACATCGGTTGTTAATTTGATATGCATCTCACTATCTTTCACCGTTGTGGTCGCGGTACCACTTAAAAAGAAATCGGAATACTTGGTGAGGATCTCTAGTAATCGTTCTCTATTATTTCCAAATACCGACGTATTAACTTGATCGGACAAAGAAATCAAATTTACTTGCAGAATATCGTTTACAGTCGCCTCACTATGAATTATACGTTGGCTATCACCGGTCCTAACATATGTAATACCTTTCCTGTTTAGTACGTCTGTACCGATAATGACTGGCACACTCAAATTATTCCCACCCACCACATAAAAATCAATTTCTATCGTTATATCGCTAAACTCGACGGGTAATGTTACAAATGATTCCGACCTTATTTCCATACCACCCAAGCCGCGTAGCAACTGATTCGTAGGCTTTACTTGACACGGAAAATGCTTAACAACATTTTTTGACATTAAGGAAACACATGAACCACTATCGATTAGTACGTCTAATGGTATTCCCGATATGACCGCAGTCGTGACGTCGCGATTTTTATAACTGTCCGTGATTTCGCGACAAAAATTGACACCATTATTATTCCGAGAATTTACGCGTTCCTTAGCAAAACAAGTTACCTCGGAATGACCTACCTTTTTGCAAAACCCACACTTTAACGGATCGCTACGAGATATCGTCGGTAACGCGATTGTTTTTTCGTTACTATAACTCGGGAGTGTATTCGACCGTTTGTTACAATTAAAACTCCTATGACCAAATTGATTACATTCGTAACACCTTATTGATTTTAAGTCTTCGGAATCATATCGACGTTTTATCGGTTTGCGGTTCGAGTTACTATTATTAGAGGGTCGGTCAAATCGATTGAGACCATTAGAATACACTTTCCTATTATGGCTGTTAGAAGGTTTAACAAAGCTCGATAAAAACTCCACTATAGAGTCAGGTGATAATTTGGCGTTAGCAGCCATAGCACGAATTTGTGGATCTGCAATTCCACGAATGATAATAGCCGTAAGCAGCTCGCTACTGAGACCTTTAACTATGCGTAACCTTAAAAGTGATTTACGAGCATACTCAGCATATGTGGAG